GAAAATCTTAATTTATTATAATATAATTTAATATTATTTGAACAGTACTCTCTACCAAAAAGAGATTTACTGTTTTCTATCATTTAAAAATTGGATAAGAACTGTTATTTAAAAAAATTTTTTAGAAACGGCGAATTATGTGCAATCTAACAATTTTACACAGATATATATAATGCAATTTTTGAATCATAAACTGGAATTTGAAACAATATTTTGCAATGTGCATTTATATCATGGATAGATGATTATTTCGACGTCCAGAATTTTTCGCGACGAAGTGATGAGATCATTACGGATAGGGCTTGAAAGTTATAACAGTATATTAAGTCATTTTGCCTATTTACGGGCACACCAGCATACGTAAAACACGTACAGCTACGTATAGCAAATTGTGAACAAGTGAGACAAGTCTCTCGGTGAGCGTTCATCAGCCTCGATTTAACGGATTTACACCATAATCTTGACCGTTTCTCACTCCTTTTTCGCTGACAAACGGCGATGTAACGCGCATTCTTCGCTAAGGTGCACGAACACTGGTCGTCGAGTGTCAAAGTCACGATTGGATGATCCGCAAAATTGCTCTTAACAACAAGTGCGACATGTCGAAATAAAATTGTGGGATGCTAGGGGCTGGTGATTGAAATATTTAAATTAGGAAGTGTACGAAAACGTTTTTCGGCTACTCGTATTAGAGATTTTTGACAATTGAATGTAGGTGAAAGACGTTTTAAATTGTCTTTTGATTGATATAATTTGTAAATTTAAACAATTGTTATTTTATAATTAAAAATAGGAAAGAATTCTTGTATTAAATATTATTTAACATTTGAACGGAGGTCTTTTTCCGGTTGTTGATTGTGACTTTCTGAAATTATAACGTAACGAGTTAAACGACCGAAAGCCCAAAGTTGTGCAATTGTCGTTTGAGTACAATGACACACAGTTATATGTAAATTAAGCGCTCTACCGTGAAATGCAATGAATCATGAAAATATAAAGTAATCCATAAAATCGATATATTACGCTTTTGCCTTAAATCAGTATTATAACTTATTCAAAACCGGTTTTAAATTAATTTATAGAAGATATCTTTTTTTTAAGAATTAACATTCTATTTCATTAATAGTATTTATCGATTGCTTATTGCAGTATATTTTGCTTGAGCAAATATTATTTCACAAAATATTAACGTAAAGTATTTCATGAACATTACATGTAATATATAATACCAGTTTGAAGTAGAGATATGGAATATCTCAGTTATATCCTTTCTATTATACTATCAATATTTCACATTTATTTTTGGTTGAAATATTGTTTGCGTAGCGTTAAAAGTAACTTTTACAAATATTTGCATGGAATACCGGATATATCGTTTCTGTTGCGTGTAGAATGTAGATACATTTGTTTTGCTGTCAGACCGTATCGAAGAAGCCTTCCAACCGTTTCAATATCCTGTCGTACAAAATGCAATGGCGTTAGTATCCTAATTGAAAACACGAACGAAACTGAAGTATTTCATTATTATAGATTCATTAATTGCATAAGATTTACATAACTCGTTATATGTATTTTATTACATTTTATGGATTGGCCAAGAAGTTAACAATTTTGCCTTTCAGCTTACGTTCTTATAATTCTCTTATTCATCTTTTTTTCAAAGTTTCAGAGAGAATGTTGACTGCAAAAAAAGATTTAGAAGATAAAATTACGTCTGATGTATGTAACATGACTAATATTGCAATCCTGAGCTGCAAGACTGTGTTTCCACTTGGGATGATATAACGTATAACGCGGACGCTGCATTTTCCGGCGCAGTGATAAAAATCCACAAGATTTCAATGCGCATTCGCGACAGAGTGCACCCGATGCGCGCAATGCGTTTTAAAGGCCAACTGCGACGGACTCGATCAGGCCGCACTAATACGCTTTTGTCACGAAGCAACGAAGTGCATTGCCGCTACGCCGCAATTTTTCTGTTCTTTTCCTCTCTCTTTCCTTCTCGATTCCGTTGCGATGGTAATAAGCGAGGCGCCGTTTCGCAAGCTGATTCAACGGGCTTATCGCTCAGACGAGAGGATGTGAGGGTACGATAAGGCAAGTCTTATTGATTTGCTCGCGCATCGATAGGCCGATTAGACGTGGAAATGATATCTCGGCCATCTCGGGAGATTAGGCCCGTATATCATAACCGTGTCTTTATTGCTAAGAAGTTTACATAACAAAATGTCGATGTCTTCCACTCGCCTTGAGCGAATTTATTTACAAACGAATGGCCGTCACGACTTACGTATGTCATGGATAGCGCACGAGCGATGCAAAACAATACAACCGCGGTTCTTTTTGGTTCAGGAAAGGTTCACTTGATTATATTTGCACTTCAAAAAGGCAAATATGGAATAATTCTTAATTATAATTTTATGTTAAGATCTTATCTTGTTCAATAGAATTCATGAATATGTGAACGCAAAATTATTCCTGGAGCAAAAGAATAAAATACTTTCCTTTACATCTATAACTTGTGTATCTATATACATTCCAATAAAGTTATCGCAAAGGCAGTATATTCTATAGATATTCTTCTACTTATCAAATAAATTCCATTATTTTGTTACAAACACAAAATGAATTCCCTTTAAAATCTCACCTTTATATTGATAACATATCAATGCCTATGAATTTCGATCCAACCTGAAAATATATAATTAGTTTACTAAATTATTACCGATCCCTGCAACCGCTGCCGACGTCGGTCGGACTGCAGGACGAATTAAACGAATCGTGTTGGAAGGCTACGAGAAAGGGTCGGACGAAGCGGAAGTTTGGCACACTTACCAACACTTGCCGTGGATATCGTCGATGTGACACGACCTGTCCACTCGGCACAAGTGCGAGTGGGCGTGCCGATTTCCTACGAATACAAGGTTCGCGTCAGTAAGGTAATGTAAAAGCCTGTGTAACGCTACGTGTACGCACCACTGAACGTGCACGCATCATCGTGAAACAGCGTGGCGATGCGATCCACGCCGGCGATTCACAATCATTGAACTCGCATTAATTTGTTGCGGAAGTTCGACAGTAGCAAACGAAATTGTAAAACAAATATAAATGTTTTACGCTCGCAGTGTTACATGACAGTTGACACGAAGCAATTTTATGAATAAAAACAATTTAATATTATGCATATAGATTTTATATTCATTTCATACATGATTTTATATATATTTTGATTTCATTTTGTAACTACACATCTTTTAAGCGGCCCTAATCAATTGTTTATTATTGTACAATATTTTATGTTACTTATCTGGAGATTTTATTGAGCCTTCAGACTTTATTTTGAAGGAGGCATTGATAATATTGCATAAAATAATTGTACAATAATATTGAGCATCTAGGAGCCGTTTTATATTCTCTCGATACTGCAAATATATATTATGACATAATCCGGATAATCACTATCTTTTGTTAATAGAAACAGTTAATAAAAAGATGGGTAATTATGGTGACAGCAATATTAGCGATAATAGAATGATGTGTGATAGCATGGTTATGTGTAGGTGATTATGCAATCGTTACTGTCAGTCCACTGACATCGCCCCCATAAAACCGACATAGGTGTGTCGAAATCCAAGTTCACGCATCACTAATAAAGTAACGTTTGTAAAACGTTCTCTGCGTCACGGGATGAATTATGGTCATTTACTAGAAGCACAATCGTAGGCAGGTGCAGCTAACGAGGACAAGGGCCTCAAATTGTGTACGCGGATATATGTGTAATCGACCGTTAAGTAATTTACATTCGTGAAAATCGCACGCTTCGCATAGCCTCATACAATTCCATCAATAGAATTACAAATTATTATTTTCGAAAATAATTGCGACTGAAATTAGTAGTTTCTTATTTATGATAAGATAAGATTGATTAAGGTATATTAATTTTTTTCTTAATAGAGGTTTTAATAATTAAAAACGTAAAGATATCATTTTATTAATAATAACTATAATTGCCTTTTTTCTCTTTATAAGAATAAACAATAATCTATTACATTAAAATTAGCATTTAACTATCCTGATGATAAAATTTATTCAATTTTTGCTAGTTACATTTTCGAGAGTAAGCATTCTGTTCAAAATTTGTAGCTGACTTAGTTACTACTTGAGATATTGCTACAATTTCAGGAGCGTTATCGATTATATCGATAATGTTCAAATCAAAACTAATCCATGCTCGTAAATCACTAATCTGAAATTTAGAAGCGTTTATTGCGGATGATATATACCCTGACATCGATGAGAGCGATGAGGCAACATGATTTACGGGTCAAATGTTTGCCAAAATCGATAACGGTGATGATCCGTTCGATTGCAACACGTGAGACTACCTCGGGGTCATCGGTATGCACGCAGAAATCCTTCCATTCTAGTGCTTTGTTGCGACAAGCTCTGATCACACTCGGCATGTTACGGCATTAGATTGGATTCGGATCATTCCTAATCCAGTATCGACGTGCGCCTGGTTGCAACGTCGTGCCGGTAGGCTACGGACAATAACAGTGGATCAGCCATTCGATCTTACGTTACTTCGCATAATTTCGTTAAACCTCCTCAATTCCAGATTTAACAGCTATTATTTTTTCGTATATACAATAATGGATTCTATCATTTATCAAATAATTCAAGCGTAACTAAATTATATAAATAACAGAATTTAGTAGATTGTCAAATTATTGACGATTATAGTATATTTTTTTATTGTTTCTAATTTAATAAAGTTTGTCAACATATATACACTTAGATTTCGATCTTTTCTTTTTAGATTAAATTATATCTTTTGTTTCTATTTTTCTTCAATTATTAATGTATCTTGCATTGCAGTATTTCTTCATTATCTCACATTACTAGTTAACGATATGATTCTACTAAAACTATGTAAAATTAAGAATTGCAAATTTTTTTGCTTTTATTTTACCTAAAATGGATTTTCTTCTATATTACAGGCCGAGTCTGAAGTGGCCGCCTTGAATCGTCGTATTCAACTTTTGGAGGAGGACCTTGAGAGATCCGAGGAGCGTCTTGCCACTGCCACTGCCAAACTGGCGGAGGCATCGCAAGCTGCCGATGAGAGTGAACGGTAAGTGTTTATTATATACACAACAAAATTATTGCGAATTTTTTTATTTATAGTGATTCTGTGCATATTCTCCGCAATGAACAGTTATCAAAGTAAAAAATACGATAGAAAATATTGAAATAGAAAATATCTAAATATATTAATGTTCAAAATTAATTATTAAATACAAAATTATAAATATATTCCGATGATTATTTTATAATTTTTATGACTTTATAACAATAAGAATATACGAGTGTAAAAAAAATAGCTGTTCATTGTTATATATTTTCTTTTATCTATTTAAAAATGATCAAGAGTAATGTAGATAATACATATTGTATAATTAGATACTTGATGTTGATACGATTTTTAACATATTTATTGTCAAGCTACCAACTATGATGGATGTTAGTATTTAACGATCGATGGTTGGCTAGGATATATTTATGAAAGAGCCGAGATTTTATAATATTTTACTTTTGATCATTTTTATTTATTGTATACAAATAATTCTAAATTATATCGGAAAATTTATTATACGTGTAAAAGTGGTGTAAATTAATGTTCGATTTTATCTCATTTTATAAAATTAAAACTATAAAATCTTTATTATTGTTATTATAATACATGTTTTTTTAATGTAATTATATATATGTATGAAACATGAAAATCCTTGATAATTAGATATTTTTCGATATTAAAAATATTTCTAAAAATATATTGTGTAAATGTTTGAATATATATAATAGATATTTTAAAGTTACTTTTCATAATTTATGCCACTCTTGCTCTAAATTCATTGTGTGTATTCTATTTATACATACATATTATAATATATAACGTAGTATATAATAAATATTAATGTAGAGTTTTATATAATAATTGTGGACGAGTTTAATATTTTGAAAAAAATTATTTCTTTTCATTATTTTACATTGACCTTGTCTTTTCATTATTTTACATCGCCTTACATTGAAAGAATCGATATGCAAGAAAGAAACTTCTTGATTCCTTTTCCTGCGATTTAATTATAGAATGCAGTGCAATGCATTGCAATTTTGTATGACTAATATCGTGCCAAATACAGACCCGAACGCAACAACTCTTTAATATTCCAGTTATACATATGTAGTTATGATAAGTGCAGAAATTCGCGTAATTATTATACCAATTTCGTTGTCTATTATAGATATAGGTGTATAAGCGGTTTTGTAATCACTGCAAAATAACGATGATGTAAACAATTCTAACGAACTGCTACGCTTTACATTATTTTATTAGAAATAATATACGTCTATAGATAAAGAAAAGGATAATTCACAATATTTTCTTTCTTTCATATACTCGAAGATGTCTGTCAAATAGAATCAAAATAAGATTTTGCGGATTTTGAAACACCACATCCTGACCTACTTTTTGTGGTTATATATTGCATCCGCCGCGACGCGATTTATATAAACTCTTTCTGACATAATTTCCATTTGAAAATTATTTCTGGATACCCGTTTTCTTTTATACTAGTTATGCATTATTTAAAAGATAACTAATTTATAACGATGTTGGAAGAATTTAAAACGCCGTATCTCTTTTATTGATTTATTTGATTTTTATTTTATATATGTGATAGAATCAAATATTGAGTAAAGGACGATCATTAAGTATATAATTCAACTCGTCATAACTGAAAGTCTAATTACCGATTATGATTTCTGTACTGCAGTACGTTACTTATGCTTAAAATAATGCTAGGCTTGCTTATCGTCGTTGATAACGAATGACGTGTACATGTTCACATGTCTTGCTATGATGTACTTTTTCACGAGAGAAAAATTGTCAAATCCATTTCTCTGATTTCTTGATCTGTTATACAACATAATTACATTACAAAAAGCAATTTAAAGACATCATCTTTATGTTAACCGTAAAAACTAATTGATGCATAAACATAACAGAATAAATTGACATTAAAAAGATCGAAAATTGAACTTTACGTGTACGTGTATTTATATTATTTTTTATTGCACTCTTGAAAATTTTTTTAATCGAGAAAATAGTTATTTTGTGTACAGTGCTGATCATTCTTTCAACGACGATTAACTCATTTCTAAAAATCGATGAACGATCAATCATTAGGATACGCAAGGCCCTCGAAAACCGTACTAACATGGAGGACGACCGAGTATCCTTGTTGGAACAGCAGCTAGCACAGGCTAAACTGATCGCAGAAGAGGCGGATAAGAAATACGAGGAGGTGGGTCATCAGCGAACAAAGAGCGAAAAAAATGAGGGCAAACGGACCCTTTATTTCTCTTTGTCAGAGACGAACTACCAACCGTTTAGGACGTTAAGACGATGACATTAGTTTATAAAAATGAAAAGAAATATTTACCTACCATTTACTGGAACATTTTCACGGAAGGAATAGCGAATTCATTTCTGAAGAAGTAGAATTTCATTTCTGATACATTAATAATCCCATATAAAGCTAAAAAGGATCATCCAGATCGGTTGGTAGTTCTCCTCCGGGATTGTCTTTCAGGTAAATTTCACAGGTAGACGCATCATTGTGAGCTGAGCTGAGCAGAGCTGTTTCTCGACGATCAGAAACCTATTTCTTAACTTAGTCCATTTGTCTAATCGATATTTTAATCGTAAATTCTTTCGTTCGACATGTGTCCACCTTAAAGCGCCCGCAAGATTCTCGAGAATCGCAGCTTGGCGGATGAAGAGCGTATGGATGCCCTCGAGAATCAGTTGAAGGAAGCCAGGTTCCTCGCCGAAGAAGCCGACAAGAAATACGATGAGGTTCGCGCGCCCGCGACTACCACTGTCAAGCGTGTTGGATGCAGTGACGATGATAATCATGACGATGATGGTTCCTAGTCGATAGTCAAAATAGTGCCTAACCCCGTAACTCTCTGTCTTCTCTTTGTGTGCTCGAAAATACCGTGTTTCGATACATCTCCGTCGCGAATAAAGAGAGAAAGTGCCTCGCATGAGGTATATTCCGTTCACTAAAATCATCAGTTGGTTCATCGAGGTTGTTTCGATCACGTTAAAAAAACGAGGCGATTTTTGCGCGTTGCAAAACGAAAAAATCCGTTAATCGTGAAAAAGGCGAGAAGGTGAGAATCCTTCGCGCAGTGAAATCTTGAGAAGGGCAAATCGTGAATCGTCAATCTGTGTTCGCGATCTGGGCCGAATGAAAGTGGAAGTTTTTTTTTCGTCTTTTAGAAGAGTATTGCGTGTTCGCGACAAGTGCAGTGTTCTAAAGATCGTTCTTTTCATTTTGTTAGATAGCATAGAGAAAATTTTAGAGATATAGGAGTCACGTAGGAAGAAACGGAGGAAGAAAGAGAGAGGAAAAAAGTGATGATATATACGAGTGTTCACACGTGTTTTATGAGCGCGACTCACATAAAATCGGGTATCTGTGATTTCAAAGTGTTTTTGTTTCGATAAAAGCCACGACAAAATGTCTCAAGTGCCAGTTTCATAAATAGAGTTTAATCTTGTTATTGCTACATATATAATATTCCTGTTATTAGATACTTAGATTAGAGACGGCCGCGCGACCAAGTTCGGAGAAGTTCGTACGCGCGCGTGTTTATAATTCGATCTCTTCAGCGGGTATTAAAGTCGTCGTGGAAGCTTTGAACCGCGTGCTCGGTTGGTGCTCGGTTGGTGCTCGGTCTGTCGCTCGCTTCCCCGCGAGACCGGCCTCGTTAATAAATTTAATAAGAATATCGTCAATTGTGATAACGCCGCGTGAGACCGCGCGACTTTATCGCGGCTCTCCGCGCGTCAACGATTATAAATGGTGCTGCTTTTGTCAAGCTTGTCTTTCGGTAAGACGAGCGCGTTTTGCTTTGCTGGAATTCAGAATGCGATGCCCCAGAATAACGAGAGTTGTGATGGTAGGTGTTTGCCGCGATAACGTTGAAATTACGGTGACACACACTTTGCTATTTGTCCGCTCAGAGATTACGGTATCAATCATCAGGATAAGATATCGTTCGAAATCTTTTTCCAGTCCTCTGCATGATACGTGCGATATTACGGATTATTATTTGCGGTCGTAAACTACCGGTATAATTTTACACGATTAATTTTACACATTTTTAAATATAAATATCTAAACTTTCTACAGTGACAGAATGTGTCATATTTATTTCTTCATATGTTTTTGCAATATGAAGTCTGTTTTCTGTGACTGAACTAGTGTACACTTTTGGAATTTAAAATGAGATAGATATTTGAGAAAGAGTTCTAGTACAGGAATAAAAAACAGACTCATTAATTAGTTTTAATTAATTTGTGAAAAATTTGGTTTATCTTCGTTAATAAGCACATTTTATTTATTTTTATTAATATTTTATTTAATTTTTTTAAAAATCCTCGCAATCCTTTTCCTTGGAAATTATTATTGGAGAATTCATAATTTTAGAGATTTTTATTGAAATTTCTCGTAAACTCACCGTAATTTCAACCACTTTACCTTCTTCATCGTTCTATGCGATCTGTTAAATCGTCGTTAATTAACAGTATGCGCAAAAACTAATCGCGGTGTGCGAGAATTGATTTTGTCGCGATGTTAATTAAATCGTTTAATTTATTTAGTAGATAGTGTTGCTTCCACACAATCGTCTGTTTTGACCTTCTAATTAACGATCTAACTGCCTAACCGTTACAGAAACTTACAGAGATGACGACAAATTCTAACAGCAACCCAGTGTGCCGATCTTCGTTAAACATCTTCTTTTTCATATATAAGACGTACAATCTTCATTCATTCCCAAAAACGTGTCGCAATTTTATCGTAAAATGGTTGGGACGTTATGAAATTGGTAAAGTTTTTGCCAAGACAGTTATAAGTTATCCATTATACGACATAATTTTTCTCATAAATGTGCCATACAATTTATAAAATCAACAAGACGTTCATTTTGCATATTCTCGACGAGCTGAATAAAATCTTTGTTTTCATTGCCTCAGAATCACGGATGTTACATTTTATTGAGTTATTCGCAGAATTATGCTGACTATGAGAGGTCAAATACATAGATGCATGTACACAACGAACGATTCCGTGTAAAGAGGTCGTTTGTGCCGTGCTAACTGTAATAGAAAATTTTCAAAATGAAGAGATACGAACAAGGGAATGCGGAAGTTGATAATCAAACCCGAGCGAATCGCAAATTTCTCAATTAAATTTCTACGAGAAAGCCATTTTACGATCGATCGCGCCACGGTTGTGCGGAAGTTGTGTTGCATGAATGAAAGATCGTCGTGGAACGGAATTACAGATATCTGGTCATAATTGACACAATCCATACTGAGAAAGAAATAGAAAATAGACGAACCACAGAAGATTCTGATTATGTAAATCAGTTTCGATTGTCTCAACTAAAATTCTAGTAGATTTAATTTAACTAGAAAATCTTAATTTGTCCATTTTCAATCAGAATTTCAATTTATCCAACCAGACATTTTTCTCAGTGCAGTTAAAAGGCGTTAAAAGTTCTACTTTACGACGATCTTTTTCCCTAGCGTGACGATACATTGCTGTCTTACATGCGCTTACAAGTCCATCAGGACTACTCGTCCGTCAAGACTGAGCTGCAATTTGCGTGACACGACTTGCGTGCTGCTATCTCTGATCGTTTGTTTTTCGACGGCGTGGCCGATTGGAAGATGCTAACCATTTGCGAGCGTTCAGCAAGATTGCTCGGAGAAAATTGATGTTAATGCAACAGTTTAGTCTGCCGTTAACGACGTGTTTTAATTTGAGTGCAAATTCGGAGATATCTTTAAAATGCAAAATAGATATGTATTAAATTATGTAAAATGTTGCATTAATACAGTAAATTTTCTCGATCTACCGGTACTAAAAATACTTTTGAACCGAAGTTGCTCTCATTTCCTTTTTTCGTGAAACGATATAACTTTGCATAAATACGGGTTAAATGCAAATGTCATTGCACAAATTTCGCGAGCTCGTCAGCAGACTTTGAGCATGTAAGGAGAGAGAATTTCCGTGAAGAATAATTCTTCCAATCGCGGCTACGACGGCGATGACGAAGATGACAACGGCGGCGACGAGACGCCGGTGTCTCGCCATCCCGCCGCCTCCGGAATTTTCAGAGGCGGCGAGGTCGCTGAGGAGAAAGAGAAGGAGGGAAAGATAGAAAACAACACATGTTAGAAACCGTGTGTATGTCGTTTATACAGGTCGCCCGTAAATTGGCCATGGTTGAGGCCGATCTAGAACGCGCCGAGGAGCGTGCTGAGGCCGGAGAGTCGTAAGCATCGTTTTTATTAGGCATCTTTCGTCCGGCACCTTTTGCCCGAAGTGCGAACGATCCCATGGCATTTCTCTCCTTTCATCTCACCCAGCCGCCCCCTTTCGTTCCATTACGCATCCGTCGGATGCGCTTCGGCTCGCTCCCGTAACTTTTGACAGCACCGTTAGCCCGCAATATGTTCGTCGACGATGACGAAGAAGGCGGAAATACCCTTTAACCACGCCCGTGTTCGTTTTGCACGATAACGATATGTTTTGTGATCGTATTTTACCATTTAAAAATGTTGTGTATCAGTTATAACTTTTTTCATCATGGAAAGCCAGAATTACGAAACATTAATCTAATTAAATACCGTCTCATAGAGACTTACTAAATAATATGTCGACAGTAATGATGGCTTTTCTACGACACCATCTGCGTCTAAGGGAAATAAGTAAAAATTACATTGTCATATCGAATTTTTTGATCTTATCAATCTTTTAATAGACGTATAGTGTTAAGATACATCCAAAATGATATATTGTATTATCTAATGAGTTGAGATTTTTTAAATAATTGTCTCAAAAAGTTACCTATGGACGTAGATGCGAATCCCATAATTGTAATTAACGTCGTGGCACAGTGCACTCGCACTAATCTTTTAGCAGCCGAAAGGAACCTTGGAAGCCAGGAAACATCGGATTTTTATGCGTCTCTGCATGTTAACACCTAATTTTTTTTTGTTTTTTATATTACTATTTCATGCCCACTTCCATCACCTTTGCTTTTGCGCATGACACGTGTGGCTGTTGATCACAGGTCGCCAGGAAACTAGTCTTGATGGAACAGGATCTCGAGCGCGCCGAAGAGAAGGCTGAACTTTCCGAATCGTAAGTGCAAGCTTATGCATGAGTTTATTAATCTCTTTTCCTCCATGTAGCAACACTTGCTATCATTTGTTCGTTATAATCATTCAAAAGTTTAAATTACTGACGAACGTTTCAATACGTAATTTTAAAATATAAAGATAGTGACTTTTGTATTACATTAACAAACTTTTATAGTACATTCACGAAAGATTTTTTATTAGTGCAGACTATTACGATAGGAACTTAATTGTTAATGTTTTTTATATGGGTATAAATTTGTTTTATTGCACAATTTGTATAACTTTTCATAACTTCGTATTATTTCTTCTCAAATGATTTAAAATTACATTTTAAAAATAAAAAATATTGAAAACGTTTGTCCGCAATTTTTGATATGTTTCTCTTATAATGACATAAATTACGATATTAACGATTAATTAACTTTACAGAAAGATTGTCGAACTTGAAGAAGAATTGCGTGTCGTTGGCAATAACTTGAAGTCTCTCGAGGTCTCCGAGGAAAAGGTAAATGATTTATTTCATGCGCCATGTACAACGTAATCAGGATGGAACTTAATTCCGTCTTAATTAAATTATATCGCCTCCCCAATTTTCATTTTATATTGTAATGATTTTCTTAATTATCAATTAATTCGCGTCTAAAATGCTGGAAAATATTGTGGATAGAAAGCACATTATGATATACCGTTTTTATAACGCCCAATTTAATTGTAAATCATAAATTATGTCGATGAAAATACGTGCCAATAATTGGATTGAGCATTAATTTTATAATGGTCTTTTCTTAAGCGTTCTAAAGTATCTTATAATCAGTCTTATGATCAAGTATTTTATAATCCATGTATTTTGAAGAAAATCATCGCGTTATACGTACGAGAAATAATATTTACGTAATTGTACGTAGGCCAACCAGCGCGAGGAGGAATACAAGAACCAAATTAAGACCCTTACTACCCGTCTAAAGGAGGTACACATCCTTTGGGAGTGTCTTGCTTTGCATTTTCTAACGTGTGATCCATCCTCGCGTCGTAGGTCTTGCCACTAAAATATTAACTCGCGTGCCCCTATCGTTTTGCTATCTGACCCCATTTTTTTTTAGAAGTAACTAAACAGTATTTTCTGCGTTGCGGTGAACTAACGAAAGCTTGTTTTGTCTTTTTGTTGTGCTTGATTAAAAACAGGCGACGCAACGAGAGGAGACGTTCGAGGGCCAGGTGAAGATTCTTGATAGTCAATTGAAAGAGGTAAGTGAAAGCGAGAAAGATCAAGATTATTACGAAGAAAACAACCCTTTAATGTATATCGGAAATTTCTACTTTCATTTTGATTATATTATTTTTTTTTTATTAAAATATAAAACCGATATTTTCAGAAATGGATTAATATTTAAATATGATAAAAATAACCATGAAAGTAATTTTAATTTGTGTACGCGAAGAATAAGAAAGGATTTACAAAAAGTACGCGTGAAACTTTCGAGATTCATATAGAAATGTAAAGCTTCACAAATCGCATCAGATACGAAAAATACAAACGTATCAATAGTATCGTAAGTTTCTTTGTCAGTGAACCTATTGTCCGAAAAAGAAAGAGTAGAGCATTGTTCTTGACAATAGCATATTAATCGTGTAATATAGAGTGTGTCGCAACTAAACCTTTCAAGGCTTAGATTCAGATTCATAGCGTAGCTGCAATCATGTGTGACGTGAAATTTGTTTTACTTGCATGGCGTGATAGTTAAAGAAATATTGATACCGATTATTTCAACGATTTCAAAAAAAAGCAGTTATAAACCTTATTGAATAATTATATTTCAATTTCATGCAATATATATATATATATATAATTGAAATAAATAACTTCTTTTTCTGTTTTTCTTTTTTTGAAATCGATGGATAATTTCATTCAAAATATAATTTTCTGACTGACAAAGTATTGTATTTGCGTAGGCTGAGGCACGCGCTGAGTTTGCAGAGAGATCCGTGCAGAAACTCCAGAAGGAAGTTGACAGGCTCGAAGGTGCGTATACGACAAAAAAAGAATACATTAATTATTTTTATTCTCTTCAATAATACGATTTATCTGAATTCAACTAAATTTTTTAAATACAAATACGTTGACATATGTTAGATATATAAATAGATATCTTTTATATTTGAGATATATAATGTTATAATACGAACTGAATTTCTTAAGTGGAAAGAGAGAAAGAATTCAGAAAACGGTTTTTATATAGAAGCTGATATTCAGAAACTAGAAATCATTTTCTATTCAAGTAGCTAAGAGTCTTAAAGAATCAATGCTCTGCATTTGAAGAGTTTGAACCGATACCAGGCGTTATAAATAAAGCAATACCGCAGAAATTAATTATTACGAATTTGTAAATTTAATATGTTTTTAAAGAGACTAGAGAAATTGGTAAGAATATTTCTATCCAGAAAATTCGAGTCGAAATGGTTAAATCAAACTTTGAATTTATGATCAGTTTTCCTAATTATACAAGGAATATAACGATTCGACAATCGTAAAGCAAACCCTACTTTTCCATGTGTGTATGATGTGTGTGCGCCGTATTTTATTTGCGTATTTACCCTTCTAACCGCCGAAACGCAGTATGTTACGCTCGCGTGTGGCTTGCCGTGTGTGTTACTTCCCTTTAACCAGTGATCTTTACAGACGACCTTGCGGCTGAGAGAGAGAAAAACAAATTGCTACAGGAGGAGATGGAGGCCACCCTGCATGACATCCAGAACATGTAGATTGTATTTTTCGCGGTGGACGAAAATGCATAAACGCGAAAACGTTTAAAAAGCGAGAGAACATCCGAGAGAGAGAGAGAGATTGAGAAAAAAGAAATCGAAAGAAAATAAATGCAAGCAGGTAGCAAAACGGCGGCAACGAGAAGTGAACGAGAAACAAATACGCCGTTACGGAGCGAGAGCTTCGTATGTGGTGCACACCTTACCTAACATTAACGGATAAAAATGCAGTCTTTAGGCTAGCCTTATACCCTCCATTACGTCCATCCGCAGTGCGTGTACGTACTATACATGCTTATATGCGCTCGAGCGTGTGTATCGCGTGCGTGTTGCGTGTCTATTTGTATGCGTGTGACGTAAGTTACTGATATAGGTTGAGAGGAAGAGAATAGAAAATGTATGCATGTGTATATGTATGTAAGAAGAGTAAGGAAGATACAGAATGAAAGGATCAATATGACAGAGAGAGAATGTAAAAGATAGAAAGAACGAGGAAGAATAAATAATACGCGACAAAAACAGACGACAGGATAGTTCCATACATAATATGAAATTACTTGTAATTGAAATCTGATTTTTTTAGCTTTAGATTTTAGCTTAGTCTGTCTTTAAATTTTAATTTAAAAAAAATGGAGGCATGACTGCAACCGGTTTGAGACGTCTTCGAACACGCTGCGATTTAAATTCGTTATGAAAACGATTACTGGCCGTGGGAGAAATACGTGAATAGGTATTAGAGAGACGAAGAATATGAGAAATGAAGACAAGACGAATAGAATTTATTTGTATCGAGAGAAGTTTGATGAGAAATTTGAAACCAATTTTTTCGAGCGTATATTAGTTTTATGCGTTAAAGATTTTATATACAATCTATTATATAATTATAATATTGTACTTAATATACATATATAATTATATAGTAAACAGCGCTCGACTCGTCTGACATCTGAAGACAGGTTCTCCCCATTAAAGATAAATGATTGTTGAGTAACAATTATTAAGTTATAATATCTTTTAGAAGTGACTTACAAAAATTTTATCTTTTAATTGATTCGACCAGTTCATCGAATTTAGCGCGTGTTTCTCTCGGTACAAAATACGCGTAGCAGGATTGTATATAATGGAGGGAAACAGAGTGTTCATTTACTTTTCGCATCATTTTACATTCCGCATTCCACGCGGCTCAGCTCGCGCGAGAAGAAATTCGTCAGTTTCTTCTGTTAGCTTTACAGTGAGATTATTGTCGCGTCATCTTCTCATTGCCGCCGATAAAAGCAAAGACGACAATGATGCAATAACCATGCATTTAAGAGGATTCCACTGCCAAACCTTCCTATTAATTTTTCTAAAAATATATTTTCTTAGTACGTTTTTGTCTTCGTTGTGCAATATTCAGTCAAACAGTTACAATCGTATTACCAACGTAGTATCGCCATAATTCAAATTCTTTTCTTTCTTCATAATAAAATAATCGAAAATTATCTGGCCTATACAGATATATGTGTTGTACGTATGCAGAATGATTTAACTTCGAGCCTACGAAAAATTGATCAACGCATAATACTTAAGATAACAAACAGGGAAGCAACTGGCTACTTTGTCACGTCGCAGCGCAGCTTCCCGTGCTAGCTGAGTCATTTCGATATTTTTTTACCGATCGTGCCTGTATATATTTACGATATAAATACTAACCACGGCCAACGTCAAACCTCAATGCAGGGAACGTGCTTCGTTTCGAACGTAACAGCGAATGAGAGATTGGAAATAATAATCGATCGTCGAAATAATGCATATCCGATATTCCACTTCGCGGCGCATGGTTCGCCTCGAATTATTATTATTATTACTATTACTATTAATTGATACAGTTTGCCGCGCGCGCGCGCGTGTTAATGTTATTGCTACTTTACGCTCACCATCGAGCATCGCTAATCCTATAGAGAAATTTTCTCTTTTTTTCTTTTCTACTGAAAAACGTAATTTATGTCGCGTGTACTGCCTCGACCTCGATGCCGTAACCCGTCACGGTTATTCTTGTAGCACTTTTCCTGCAATATATTCTTGGATGGCCTTTTGATGTGGAAATGTGCATCGTCCTCTTCCCGTTTCAATATATAAATGCATGTATATTATCGTCACTCGCACGATCATTGAGCGATCATGAAGATAATAGAATAAATCGAAGATATGTTTCGGGAGATTGACCCCTGATAACAATAGAAATATTTTATCTTTCATATCTGGAAGGTACTTTAAATTTAATAATTTAGCTTGATTTGTATTATATAAATCGATATTTTGTTGATGTAGTATTAATATAAGCGTATTAATTATTACGCGACTTCTAAATATAATCACGTATGATTAATTAGATTAATCTAATAATATTTCTTCAGAAATTTGGACTATTTTGAATTGTATATCTCGTAAGTATGTCTCTATTTATATATACGAAGATAACGATGAACTAATCCAAAATACAGTATCTTATGCAATATCGAAAGGCCACCCAGAAACATCGCGATCGTTTGTTCTCCAAGTTAACGTCGCCACGAGCAAACGTTATTAAAAACCAGCAATAATGCGAAAAGCACAACTATGAGACCTACATGTTCTATCGTTGATTTTTATTAGCCACAGTTTTTTTCTTTCTGAATAATGCTAAAATTACGGAAACGCAGATACTTGAGTTTAAGAGAATTTTAGTTTATTAATTTACTTAATATTAATAAAGTAAATGGAACGATAATAACACTAATATCATTGTAATAATAATTGATTATTATATATTGCTATTATTATAAAACTGTTTATAATATATATTTTAATTTTGAAAAAAGAGTGTGTCGTTTGTTTTTCGTTGTGTTGTTCTTTTTTTTTACCTGCGCTAACATTAATCCTCCACCGTTAACATAATGACGTATAACTATTCTACACGCGATAACGCTGTGTGGTCGCCTTGTTGTTAGACAATCTCGTAACAAAATTGCATGATGAAGGAAGAAAATGGTACGTATACCTTATTTACGGTGAGTAAATTTGCTTAATTCGATTTTGCTATATTAATGCATGACAAATTTCCCTACTTATAATATCGAAACTTCACGATTGTCTTTTATCATAAAATAAATATTATTTTATAGATATACCTTTTCAATTATATATATTTGAGTAATTTACTGCTAAAATTTTTTCGATATATGTATACTAGCATAATCGTTGATTACATTAATGATTTTACACCGTAAAAAAGTGAACTATTTTCATAATTAATGCATCTAATTATTGAAATATGTTTCGTTAGGAAAATGTATGAAAAAAACTATTACTATAGAGTTAAGAATAGCATAGATATAAATTAAGGTACAAATTTCAATTACATCTAAAAAAAATTGTTATATCTGACAAAAGAAATTTAACGAACATCAGGGTCGTAGAAACAGTTGATGAATCTTATTTTTAGCTATACGTGTTAAGACTCACGTATTTATTTTTAAATCCTTAAGTTATTTAATTTAAAATCAATTATTTTCACCATTATCCTGCTTGGTTAATTCACTACCTTTAGCGCGGTATTAATTTTAACAATATTAAATACTTTCATCTCTTCAGCACTTTTTTCTTTAAACATTTTTCACGCTACGCAGTAGATGAAATCTCTAACTAAATAGCGGCTATCTATAACGTTGCGAATGCTTGCAGATGAGATGGTGATCGAAAAGGAGAAATTCAAGGAAGTCGGGGATGGCTTGGATAATGCGTTCTTCGAGCTCTATGGCGTGTAACATGGCTACTAACCACCTTTCTAACGCTTCGATACAAAAAAAAGAAACAAAAAAAATACCGAAAGCCCTTTTTACAAATTTAGCTTGCGCTTAACACATCTTTCGTAAGTTACTCGTCTATGCTTTTTAACCCGCTCTTTGCTAAAATCGCAGCTTCCCGATCAAACGCCTCCTAAAAGAATCCCTCATTTTTCTAAAGTGCGAAATATTTCTATATACCCTTTTTCACATCGCTTAAAACTAAATATTCCATGTACACTATTATATTAGTAAAGGATCGAAGGTTCATGTGATACCTACATCTTTTCAGTTTTATCTCGTATCAAAGTTCATGCAAATTATCAATGCCCCTAATTCATACTGAACGTATCAAAGTACAATTGATACAGTAACGTGTGAATAACATTCTAACGACACTATGTTTTCTTGCAGACGAGCTCGTCCACGAGAAGGAGAAGTACAAATACATCTGCGACGACCTGGACCTTACTTTCACCGAATTGGTTGGTTAAATCTGGCTGTCAAATATCCGCGTCCGCTATCGAATTATCTGGCCGTAATTATCAACATTATACGCACAATTCGATTGCGATCGGGTCACGGCCATTCGACGCATATACTTTCGTTATCGTAATAAAAATCAATGTACTATAAATACGTTCCGCGTTCAGAATATTTTTCTTTTTTTAATTTATCAACGATTCCACTTCTCCAGCTTCCGTCGGTATATACAGCCGCTCTGTGTGTGAGAGCTGCGATTATTTATTTATTAAATTATTTATTTCGAAAACGCCGCTTAGATCAAAATTACAAGCGCAGTTCTAATTGCATTATGCTTCGATAACAGCGTGCGGTAAGTAGAGCAAAAAGAAAAGTACAGTAAATATTCAATGTATTGTATTATTAATAAAATATTATTGAATGTGAAAAAATATCTTGATGATCTTTTTATAATAGTTCGCGAATTTAAAATTGTCGAAAAATTGTACAAGGCCACTTTTGTTTCTAATACTTCTCTCTCAGAAATTAGAACAAATAAAACATCACATAGAATTTAATGTGCTTTTTTCTTTCATACTTGAAACATACCCTGTTCCTTAATGAGTTAAAGTCAGCTACGAGATATTTATTTTTATAAAATATATTTCCATAAATATTTATCCGTATATAGACTTTGATCTTATTTATATATAGATTAATCCATTTTATCTTCTCAAGTGAATTTCTCAGGTTTTAGATAATAGGATCAATCCAGCTAATTTTCCTTCATCCTATTTTCACTTTAAGCTGTTTCACAGATATAATGATCGTCTAATCCCAAAGCATTAACCATGAAGATTATGTGCTCGTTATATTCTCTCTCTCTTTCTCTTTCCAATTAAAAAGAATATTAAAATGTACATCCGATTAACCATCATACCGTCCACTAATACCACGTTCCCTCCCTTCTCGTTGCAGACGTACTGGTAAATGAGCGCTGTAAATACAAAGCGATCGCCGACGAGATGGATCAGACGTTCGCCGACCTCGCCGGATATTAGCAGGCAGGCTAAAATGCGTACAACCGGGGGTGTTACATGCGGGAAAAAGAAAAAAAGCGAGAGAAAAAAGAAAGAAACGATTCGTTCATGCTACGACAAAACGACACTGCCAGCACGCGGACCCTTCGCCACACGTCGTCTCGTCCGATTACATTAGCATTCTACATGTACTCGCTAGAGGAAAGTCGAGGACGAGGAGGATGAGATCGCTGACATTTAGCGTTAACCGCGCATGACTTAACCGTTAAGTCGAATTTTTCGTTGAAGACACCGTCACGCGTTCTACATTCTTTCGACTCGACCGAAATCTACGTTTGAGCAGGCTCGTCCAGCGTCTTTTGTAAAGTTTTACATAGAAATCGGGAAGAGAACCTTTTTGAACGGCGGTAAGATCGTATAAAAAAAATTTGTGCTTCTGAAGATTTTTTGGAAGCAAAAATATATACGTACTCTTCCAATACCTGGCACGAAATTCCCATTCAATGATGACGATTTATTGCAACATTGGTTCTGTTACCTGTGCTTATATTATCCCTGCGCAGCAAGGTGTCTTTATCTTATCCCTCACGTCCAATAAATTTCATTATTTCCATCGAGATCTGTATTATTCCCTATAATTCGCATAGCTTCTGTAACGATTATTGGTTGCTAAGAAACTTCTTGCAGGATTAATTATTTTCATCTTGCTAGCTCAATCGCACAATTTATGCAGGATACTGTAAGTCGCATTGTTTCATTAACAAAAAAAAAGTACGGGCCAAAAACGGCATTCGCTCGAAAGTTAGATTGTGCTCATTCGAAATCAAGTCCATATGGCCTTAAATACAACATCCTAATTCTTGCGACAAATGTGTTCAAAGCACTTTTATATAAGCAGGAAATTAAAACGGAACTATACAAATTCTTGACATAATTACAACAATTTGTATCTACCAACGGGCTTAAAAAGATAAAGATTAATAATGTTGGAGTGATTAACATCAACAAAAAACGATAAATTTCCTGCTTATAAAATTTCTATTTCGTTTAAGAAGCAGCGCTAACATTCATCATTAACCATGAATCTTCTTTATATTTGCACATTCCACCGAACGATTAGACAGTGCGGTCTAATTAGTCAGGCTAACGCTTAAGTTTCTTTCCATTATATATTAAGAAATACCACATATTATCCTTATCTGTTCATGCTTCTATGTTGTATCGTGCAGTATTGTGTCAAAATATTGATGAATTACCGATTGACTTGCTGAAATATCTCATTTTAACGGAATGAGATATAGTGTTCATTATAGCATATAAAATTGCTTCTATGATATATTAGAAAAGTTTGCAAAGCGATCTGGGCTGGATTATGGTGCGAAAGAAATAAAGTCTAATAAAGATAGAACGATATTACAAATAAAAATGTACGCTTGAAATAATCGAAAAAGATCGATCAAGTTCGATACATCTACTTCTTTCGGCAACATACCTTAATGCTGAAAATTGTATATCTTAGTCTTTAATCTTTTCCAAATGTTAATTCAACGGTTTGACGATCAAATATGATCACGCAAGTTATCGGGATTGACGATGAATCTTGTGATGGACCAAGCTCAGAGACTTTCAAACATGCACTCGATGCAGGCGATCTTGACTATCTTATGTGATAATTATTATTTTATTGTATTTATATTACTTTCAATAAAAATGCATATTTTATATCTCTGCATACTAAAATGTTTTACTCGATTTTAAAATTACGTCATGTTTTATTTTACTATAACGTTGTTTCATAGTTAATTCAATTCACGAACATCTGTTACGACTGAATATTGACTGAATATTGATTGCTTTGCGATAATGCTGAATACTAATGGCATCTGTGGAATTTGCAGTATTTCTTCAAATAATATTAAATTCTTTATCATCGTGATATTAAAACTTATCACGTAGTCGTGTTAAGATATATATAAATGCTCTTTTAATATCTAAAGCAAAATATAAATATATCATATTAGAAAACTAAATGTAAGAACAATTATTTGTTAAATTCTGAAGAAACAATACATAATGTTCAACTTAATGAAACAATACACATTATATATAAACGGAAAGGCTCCTTTTTTGTGAATATCAAGTTTATGATTAAACTGAGCATGTGCGAATAAAAATAAATTATACAAACGGTAGTAAAAAAATGATACGTTTTTGCGACTCATTTCTTCAAGAATGAAAACTAGGAATTTTTCAGAATAAAGAAAGGAATTTCATCAATTAAAGAAAGTGCAATTACCAATAATGAACCATAGATTTACATAACATACATATTCATTATTTATGATTTGCTATGATAATATAATATTTGTCTAAACACAACGCTAACATATATTTCTGTATCTTGCAATTAAAATATGAAATCCTCTTATCAGCGATCTAATAATTACAAAAGTGCTGAGTAACACGTTTCCAAAAATATCCATTCGCTTCGTTCGTAAAGGAGGTCGAACGACATCACGTGTAACCCACAGATAACACTTATATAACTTTTACATGGTTCATTAATCTGTACAGTTCCATCGGACGTCGTTCCATAATATAATCTACCTATTTAGGTAAATAGGATGTACATACATTTCTGAGGAACCAGTTTGACATTTATAATTTAAAAATGTAATAACAAAACACTAAAAATCACTTCGTGATAGTAAACATTACATTCTATCAACGATCAATTTAATTTATTACTACACGTTAACAAACAATGAACCAAAGTAGACAAATCTATTTTAGAAGATTTAATAGTCATGTTAGCTAACACGAATAATACTGTGCTTTTGAAATATGAATTTCACAAAAAGAGCTTGACATTAAAATAAACTAAATATTAAATAATTTTCTATCAAAAATTTTCATATTATTCGTGTAACCTCAGAATCGCCGAATAATAAAGTAACTTACATCAACAACGTAAATGCAATTTTGGAAATAAGAAATGTGAAGCATATATATATATATGTGGACCATATGAAATAAAACTTAAGCACTACGAAATAAAATATTGGTTAATTAATTTATATTAATATCGTTATAATTAAAAATCAGTAACGGTACATAACGATAATTTTCATATTTTATTAAAATGGGAGGCAAGTGTCAGCATCTTTTGTGTCAATAATATTATCTTCCTCATAATTTTAATTTAATTGCTTTATCTTTAGGAGGAAAGGCATTATTTGTATCAATTATTTTTTCACATCAAATCAAGCTATATTAATGCGGCAAGTAAAAATTTGTTGGTATTTCTTTAAATATCCTATACTGATGCACTTTTTCATGCACCTTACATTATGATAACAAGTCCGTACCACAACTAATTAGCAGTCTATACGTATAAGGCACATTGCATTATTTTTTTTCGAATATAAGGGAAGATTTTGTCTTACGTTTCATTACTGGAAAAAAAATTTAGATATCATGACTAAAATACTTTTGTAAACATCTCCGAAAAAAATTGAAAAGGTATTATTACAAAGACAAGAATATAGAATAATATAACAAATAATATTAATAGTAAATATAAATGCAAAATGATCGAAACATAAAAATCTGCCTAATTGATACTAATGTGTTAGAGTTTATATTGAATAACAAATAAAATCCTCGTCAATAAAAATAATGATTATCAGAAAAAGGGCTCGTAAAGAATCGTTAATTGAACCAAATTATTTGTTTTTGATATTTATATTCTAATTATATAGTGTAAACTCTAAAAAGATATCAAAACGGAGGAATAATAATAACTGTACGTAATAGTAAAAAGAAAAGTAAGTGACGCTTTACAGAAAACTGCATTCATGGAAGATATATCTTATACTTAATTCGTCTTAATTGTTGGTCAAGGCTTATGTCACTTCACAAGCTGTCAGAATTTTAATTGTAATCGACACAATTTATCGCAGTGTGTGTTTGGTCCCATCATGGAATTCTAACATATGAAGCTACATATTGTCATCTAGAAGCTGAGAATACTCAACTTGGATACTCATGAAATACGTCTCTGAGCATTTATAAAATTAATTTCGATATTCTATTTCTTTTATCAACATATTTTGAATACCTTATCCAAATATATGTCTTGATGTTTAATTGATATCAAGATAAAATTTAAAATTTATATCAAAATATCAAGATCCTTGATGAAAGTTCTTTAGTAGTTAAAATATCTAATTATCTGATTTTCTAAGATGACAGTGCGCCGTTTCGATCAAACTTTATTCCGGCCGAATAATAAGAGCCGAGTAGAAGCGCTATCTCGAGTATTGTGTATCGTAATTTTTTTTAACTCGTCTCTTTCTTCGGTAAAACGCGCCCTAATTAAGCGCTCTGATCGAAGTGGCGGCAATTAGCAAATGGAAGCTCGACATGAGAAAGAACGTTTAAATCTGCGCCGGTTCGACATAATTAGCGGGTAGCATGCCGTGTCGTCCCGTACGCTGCACCAGTCCAGTCATCCAACCCTCATCGACAGCTGTGCAGTTGACAATTAAATCACCGTCGCAGAAGCTCACCTCATCGAGATCTTGCGCTTCGTAGTCATACATCGCTCTGTACACTCTCTGCGAAAAATATATCTTTATAGAAAAAAAAAAAATACGTAAAACTGCGTATATCCATTTGGCATGCTATACACATTTTTTTTTACTTATGCTTTTTGTTTGAATAATTTAAAAAGCTCATTTAAGAAGTGTAATTTGTAAGATTGTAAACTCCTTCCATGAAATCTTTCTTAGATTAGCAGACACATAAGTTTATATTACAAATAAGTCATAAGAGACAACACAATGCGACAATAAGTAATAAAAAAAGATATTTACTCCGACGTTGGAGGGCGGTGGCGGTGATTGATGTTGAGATTGATGTTGATGTTGATTATTGTTTATCGTTGTAGCCGGCGTTAACGATCCGTAATATTCATTCACTGGATCGATGTCAGCAACCGAGCCGATTTTTCGTGTCGGTGGATTCGTCACTGCAAACACATCGAACTTGTATGAGCGACGTATAACTTACAACTTTCTACATTTGTATACTCTATTAGAAACGCATAATTCGTTCTGTAATAAACACCCTTTTGTTCTCCAGTTAGTAACAATTGTTACTTGGTGCGATCCTGTGATCTGCCACATGAATTATTCCGTGGGTTCAGCAAGGAGCGAACACGGAACCACAGAATGAGGAACATTAAACAAAGACAATTACACTTTCTATTTTCCCAACAAGGTGCACGCGGTGATGTCGCAACGATTAATTCCAGTGCAAATTGCTTCGACGATTTGTCTTTGTGATGAATCGTGTGTGACGACGATAAAAGCATAATGATGCGAACGTTTAAGTCTGACGAGCGACAATAATGCTTTAGGCGATTTCACGATCGTAATATAAGCCTGGCGTTACAATAAGAATAGCTAAGCGTTTATCTTCCTAAAATCATCTTTCTAAACAACAATTCGATTAAAGCACGACCTATTATCCAGGGACGCGAATTCTATACCCACGCGATTGTAAAATAGAGGCTGCAGAATGCGACCTCGGATAAAAAACATCGCGATAAAAAATATACATTATTGAAATTCTTTTTCCGTTTTCATCTTCTACGAATCTTAATTATTAAGACGCAGCCATACAGACTTCTGATATAACTATGAATGTATAATCATTTGCGGACGTAAATAATACAAACCTCAAATATCGAACCGGTCGTAAACATTAATCGCAATAAAATTTAGAAAAATAATGTTACGTATTAAGTATGCAAATCACAATCCATACAATAACAATAATAATATTAATGTTATATAATATTACATAATCTTTCTACAAGTTACTCAAATTATTCTATTATAATGATACAGTCATGCGACGTATCTCTCTACATAGCGAAAGAAAGGTTGCTGCAACGATTGTAGCCGCGAAGGTAAACGCACCTGGTCCCTTGTCGCTCGTATAAATGACTGTGGTAGCAGCTTGCCTTGCGGAATAGGGACTCGGCCTCGCTTCGCTAAGGGGATCGTAATCGGCGATCCTACCTGGTGTCCTCTGTACCGGCGAATTCGCCGTCCTTGCAGGCGGCGGATTGGCGTTTATGCTCGACGCAGGTGCGATCGTACCGTCTGTGTACTCTACGTACTCTATATCAACAATGCACGAAAAAGACTAGCGATACGTTCAATAGGAAGCATCCTGCGATCTGCCCACCATGAACGGTATTATGAGCGTGTAATGAATCATGAATATGGAAAAAAATAATGCAGTAAGAATCTGAATTTTGTCTGAATTTTACGCCGTCGTTTTGGTGGATTGATTGCAGCAATACGTGTGTATTCATGATTGTGTTATTTTTAATACACAATTTTGTAAATGAAATGCGAACAAATAGTACACAACAAATTTACGAATACTGATACATACATAATGTATAATCTGCAATTTGATGATTACATAGATACTGTTAGGTAAATCGTCGTTAATTAACAGTTGAGATGTTAAAAATTGAACATGTAATTATATTATTATTAAGATTAAAATCATAGATATATATGTATAATTATTAACAGAGAGTAATTTAAGACAAAATGTTAGATAACTTATTTAAGAAATTGTATAAATTATAATTGTTATAAAACAAATTTATATATATATATATATATATAATACCCCCAATAATTCAATCAAATCACAAATTACATCAATAGCATTTTTCCGATGTTAGTCTGTTAAAAATCATTCAACAAATTTTGTTGTAACAAACATGATATTTTTAGTTTGGCAATAAAGTTTTACACGCTTATTGTTATAATTTTAAAACGATACAGCAACGAAATAATAAAAATCATAAAAATATATATAATTATATTTCCCATTTTATTATGCATGAACTAAAAAGATATAATATTATAATAGAAAAAAACTGTTATATGCAAACACCGTCAAAGAGTTTACCACCTACCTATTTGCTCGCCATTTTCTCCGGTCATTGTCCTCTTTTGCTCCATGATCGCCTTCTTTTCAAGCTCACCGTGATAAGCGACATTCGAGATGATCTTGCTGTTCTGCTTAATTCTAAGAGTCTCCGGATCGTCCGCTACTTGCGTAAACTTCCCCTTCGCCTTTTCAAACTCGGCATGATACTTAACGTTGCTCTGTATCTTCGTGTTCTCCGCGATACGCTTCAGCTCCGGTGTCTCCGCCATCGTGGTGGCTTTGGCTTTTGGTATGTGCCTGCCAAGAATGAAAAACAGTGAAAAATTTTATCGTTAACGACATTGTTGTAAGAAATTATCTATCCAATGTTAGAGAGCGAGGATTCATTCATGGAGCATTTAAACTCGTGCAAGATGAGCAAGTCACTTCGAGTTTAAAGCACCGTTTCGCGATACCCGGTACGTTGTATTTCACATGAGTTTCAGTTTCGCATTTCTCTCTCTCTCTCTCTCTCTTTCTTTCTTTTTAACAAGAATATCTCGCATATACAAGCCTCTCGCATTATTTTACACGGATTCCCTAGGGGCGACCTCCTACACAAAGGAAACGTGTAAGTTCGCTGACTAATGCAAGTTCCAAGTGAACGACAAGCGGTCAATGACGTCAGTCTTATCGTGAGCATCCTTCGCGTAGCACGTCGATTATAATAGTAGGTACGGAAAATAGCATAAAGATAACTTACATTCGTCGATGTCACAATTACGCAATTGTGTGACATTGAGTTTCGAAAAATTCGAATTTCCTACATCATACACGACGTACAAAATGCGTGTGATGCACCGGTGCCTCATACGTGTGATAAGGTTATTTGCATTCACGTTATTATCACTACACTATGAAACACCGTTATCTACAACTGCATACTAGAAATGTCTGCCTGGAATTAAACGCATGAAACTTATATTCTAAATTTTTACATAGACATATATATATATATATGACCTTTTTATTAGAAAATTTTTTAATTAGTTTAATCTATTATCTTTCTCTAGAGGACAAATTTTAATCTCAAAAATGTTTAATTTATTATTCAAATTATTATTCAAAAAATTATATTACATCTTTCGTTTGACGCTGTTTTGTATTTTAATATTGATATTAATTATAATAATAACACATACATACATTAATGAAATAAATATTATATGTAGTACTCTAGGTGACACGATATATCTAATTGCAACAACAATTTTAAGTTATATTGCTCGACAAATAATTATTACTTGACAATTTGACATTCTGGACAAGCAGTACGTGCCTCGCGACGTAATTATAATTATTAATTAGGCGGGCAAAAAAGGTACGATATGCCTAGTCTTAATTATGACGCGATTAACACATCTCAGCGAATTGAGCGTGCATAAGCTGCTATTTTAAGCGGATTATTCGCCTCGCATGCGTAAAACGCTTTTTGCTGTGCATGACGCGTGTTAACGTAAAATAAGGATAATTATCAATCAACCGGTAACCGAGTGAGCCGAGTGAAATTCGATAGAAACCTCCTGGTTAGGAACTCGACCGATTTAATCACGGCACAGGTAACTGTCCAGTGCTTATTTAACGAGATAGAAATCGGTGCGTGAACGCATAACGATACGTGCACCTACAGTAAATGACACGCGTGAGAATGCAATTTCAGTGATATGCGTGAATGTATCGACAGTATTGCGATTCACATGAAAAAATGCCAGTACTGACGCAATTAAGGAAACGCTTAGCATTGTGTTGATAATTGAAAATTCCGGTACATTAACCCGTTACCTGTTGCAACTTTCTATGTATATTTTTATCACGTTTTATATATACTAAAAGTGCATATACACGTAAAACTTATAATTTTTAATTTATTATTTTTTACGTAAAAATATTTTTTATATTACAAATTAAATGAGACTGCAAAACTATTCTTTTTCTTTAAATAAATCTATTCTTAGTAATTACATTTTTTATGATGTTAATTAATCGTATTTTGGACCATGCGTCTGAAATGATTATCGAAAGTAAATTGTATAAATCGTATAATGCGCGAGAATTAACCGGCGTATACATAAAACGCAATCGAGATTTGTGTCACGACTTCGTTTCCCATATACGGGCCGCGTTGTCTGACCCGGTAATTGTGCCACGCGATTACGTAATACTCCGGCGCACACCGTACACGAATAATAGGCATGCACTCTTGACTCTCTTTGTTCAAAGAAGACGAGGGATAGGCATTGTTACGTGCCCAGGGAGGAAGAATTATCTTGTCGACCGATGCGCATCCGAGTTCCTTGAATTTAGCGTGGAAAAAGAGGAAGTTCGCTAAAAATAACTTTGAGAACGGCCACAAACGAAAGAAAATTGGAAAACAATGCGGCCCGTGTCTTCTCGTGCGACTCTGTTGCATGTTTCCAATTGTTATACAATTGTATATACGGTAAATACAGATAATAATATAATAGATAAATATGAGATAAAAATAATACGTACCTCGCAATTTTTCAAATACTCAATGGAAATTTAAATATGATATAGAGTTATAATTAAAGATTGGTCAATGGAATAAAAATGCATTAGCTTCTAAATGTTAAATATTTCTACGCCATTATCATGTTTAATAAAAAATAAGATTTTTGTAAGAATGATCTACTTGCGAAATATTAATAATTTAAATTTATGATTTAATATATGCGCCTAAATGATCCCATCATATAATAACAAAAGAAATTTTTTTAAAGATTTTTAATAAAAATTTATAAATATATGCGAGAGAGAGAGAGAGAGAGAGAGAGAGAGAGAGAGAGAGAGAGACTGTATGATTTTTTCCCAGAGATTGACTCTACGGACTATACGACCACGATTAATACGCAACGAAGTGATTCATCGAATCATTTAACCACATACGTATATGTGCGATGACTAATCTCTTAACAAACGCTTGTCTACGTACTATGATATATGTCCGTAATATTTATCGAATTTTTCTGACGCACTCAGGGCGTATTTTACAATTAAGTAGAAAATGTGAGTTTGCCAACATAATATATGGCGCAAATAAAATAACAAGCATTTCATCAGAATATAAATTTAAAATAATTAAATCACTCGTAGGATCATGACGCATCTGATACGCAATATAATGAATATTCATTTAAAAAAAGATCTATCTTACACTACATATGTGGCCGAATTTAATGCATTAAATGTAATGATGTATAATAATTATATAGCCTTTCGAGAATATAATACAAACAAAATTTAAGTTAATGTTTATCGATGGTAAATACTAATCAAATTACGGAGCGACAGAAATTTAGGTATGTATATCTTTCTCTCATATTTTATTGTTCAGTGAAGCTTCTTTAGATTACTTAACTGCGTCACGCGATACTGCATGCCTGATTTATCGAATACTATATATGGAAGTGTCACCAATGTAATGGAGAGGATAACATCTGTTGCACCTGGTTATCACACCGGTCAAATAGCAAGAACGAGACGGTACTGATAAATTATAGCCAAGAATCATAATACCGCTTGATAAACGAATATTTAAACATGCACATTACTACACATATTAAACACATTAGTTACATTAACAATAAAGTTTAAAGACTCATCCGATCTGATAATATAAACGAATTTAAACATCGAATATTTTATGATTTACGCTCTTTATGTTATCGTCTCCTTCCTTAAAACGCTTATGTAACCAAATTTTTTTACTGAATCGTCTAGAATTATTTAGAATCTCAAAATTTTATTGTATTAATTTTTAATTATTTATCACAAGTTTCTTAAACATAAAATTATTTTTTCCTAATTTTCTTTTGGTATGTCTGCCGAGTTATTAACGCATACATTTACGCCATTAATAGATTTTTCAAGAGAAGAAATTCAATATTAATTGAATAATTAAATATATTAAAATTGAAAGTATATTTTATCTTTATATTCGAATCTTATTTATCCTGATTCGAAAACTAAGGATTTCTACATCTAAATTGTATATTATACTATCGACCTTATATAAAGTTTCGTAAAGTGTTTCTCTTTCAATACAAACAGAGAAGTGGGATAAATAGCAGCAAATGCAAGACTCAAAACCACATTTCTCGTGAGAGTGATTACGTACAATATTACATCGATGCGCACAAAGTTCATAAAGTCTCGCGCAATGTTTCTTGCCACAGAAGAAATTTCAGGGCGGGTCTATTGGTTCCGTTACTGCGGTTAAATCTCAGATGGCTTTGGAACTTGCTGCACGTCAATCGTGACGACAAAATGAAGCAGTACTTGTGTCCGCATTCTAGAAATTCTTACGAAGGCCGACACAAAGAGCAGAAAACGCCCGGAAAAGATAATTATTATAAATTGTAAGCTTTGTAAAAGTACTATAATGTTTGCTCTTTTCTAATCCTCTTATATATCTCTAAAAATATTTTTTAAGTACAAAAACATATATTATATATATATTTATCTTTTTTTAAATACACAGTATACGACTCTTTAAATAATTTAAATATATATAGTAAAATATTTTACATAATTATTTATATTATTATGTCATAATAATTTGTAAAAATGGAACGTAAATTTAACTGATATTGGCGAAATTAGGCGCTTGTTCGTAATCTACAATTTATTCGATTAAGAAATATAACTCTTATCATAATCGGTAATTATATTTTGTAATTTAATTAACTTGCAGAAAATTATACGCTTCTCATAAACAGGTATAACATGAGTTAGCTATCCTGCTTACAAATGTTAACCTTTCAATAGAGATATAATTTTCTCAACAGAAAACTCCCTCACGAAAGTTCAATGTACTTTTTTTACTCTCGACGTAAAACAATGAAATTGTTTAGAATTTTTTTTCTCTGATAATATATACCTATAAGAATATATAAATTATAAAGATCATACATTATATACGGATCTTTGCTTCCAAGATTACTCTCAACGTAACACGATGCTCGGCGTTATTCAGTCTAGTAAAAAAGAGAAGGTTGCCGTGTTGAAAAGAATCTAGCGACTCTCCCTTTCCGACGTAATAACGCGAATCTCATGCAAGTATTTAATTTATGCAAAGTTTTACGCACTCACTTTCGATATCGTGCTGGAAACTTACATGCTACTCATTTTGCACGACTCGCATAAATCGCACGTTGTATATGTTACGCAGAGGAGATAAATACCGGATGCAAATGCATTCGTAGTGATTTGCTTTTAATCGCGGATTTCCACCGTGAGCGATGGAAATCGGTGCGTAAGGTGCGTACGTTGC